ATATATAAAGAAGAAGAAGAAGAGGCGCAGAGGTGAAAGAGGCGCATAGTGAAATTAGGGCAGAGATGAGAAGAAAGAGGCGTGCTAGTTGTTTAGTATGTAATGTTATATTATATATATATATATTTTTTTTTTCTACGGGTCACTACGGGTTAGTGTCGGGTTTGAACCCGAAATTGAATTGCAGGTCAATTTCGGGTCATACGAGTCCAACCCGAAATCGACCCGTTTTGTTCATGTCAATTTCGAGTCAACCCGATTCCAACCCGCACCCCATTTTTCTCAACCCTAACCCGTAATTTTCATGTCGATTTGACCCGTATTGCCGCCCCTAGATATCAGCACTAGTTTGAAGTTAAGCTCTTCCGTGGATTGTGAATCTTATGCCTCCACTCCTTTTGCATCCAACTCTAATCATCATCATACGGTACCAAGTTAAATGCCCGGAGTAATTTCGGTGAGTCGTTGTTGTGAACGGGTCGGGTGAGGTGTCTTTGAAAAGAGATGGTAATAATGATCAAGGATACTCGGAATTGATATTGCATTTGGTCTGAGCTTACAGGTTTTAATTTTCCCCCATCATTGAAAGGCAAGAACATCATTATAGGCAAATTGTCTGAACGTCTTTCTTCAGTTGTCACTCGTTATGGACAAGATTCAATATTCGAAATATGAATGATGAAGGAACATGGTGTTGCAGACTCAAGTTCGATTCAAAATTCAATGTTCTAAACCCTTACTCATCTATTCCAATAGCTATTGCGAGTAGTGGTAAGATATTTCTTCTTGCATGGTGACCCCTTTGTGAATGAAGAAGTAACGTCTGATCTTTCTTCTTGCATGGCGACCCCCTTGTCAATGAAGAAGTAACGTCCATCGGCCGGCAATGGAAAGTTACTCTCCCTATTCGACCTCTGACATGCGGTCCTCAGAGCTAAAAGCTCATCATCATCGTTCACGTCCACATGACTCCTCATGGTCCTGCATACGCTCATTACATGCACACTCAGCCTAAATATGACATTTATTTTCGCGCCGTCAGAAAGCCTGTACTCCCTCAACAAGCGGGTTTCTTGAAGTTCTTGTTGATTCCTAAAGGTGAGCACCATTGAGGATAAGGATTGGTTCGTGGCGGTGCGATTCATCCTCCCCGCCTCAAGAATCTTGTTCTTGAGGTCGCTAATGGTGTCGTTTACGTCCATTTCGAGGGATACGACATGCTTTTGCGGGGTGCGGATTTTTATGAGGAGGCGCACTGAGGTGTTGGGGGGAGCGGAGCTATTAGCCAGGGCTTTGCCTTTGGGGTCGGCAGGGAGGGATGAAGCCACTTCATCGGTGGCTTTTTGCGTGAAGCTGTAGCTGCTTGCCAGAGCTTCTTCAACGGCTTCCTCAAGAAGATGAGGATGACGGCTGCTCGCCACAAGTTTAGTGGCTTTGCCCAAAGGAGGGGGAGGCCAATCGGAGTCATGAGGGTGTTGTTGTCG